AAGGTTCTGCATTAAGTTTCTTCCATGGTTTTCTTCCTTTAATCCTCATATCAACCTAAGAAAGAATTACTGTTACTATCCCCATTCATTTACTGAACTAGTAAAAAACGAAAGTTAAGGACAAAGATTTGACAACTTAAAGGATACCAACATGGGGACAAGAAGATGTTTCAAAATTAGTGTTAAAAAGTTCTTAGCAACACTTTGTTCTCCCAGTTAGAAACTTAATCACTCTGTTTATAACACGGATTCCTTCAGCAATAACCGACTGGCTGACTCATTAACTTTCTTTCCACTGATGATGTAGACCAGGGTTCAACAAACAGTGATCCCCAGACCAAATCCAGCCCTCCACCTGAGAATGTATAGCCAGCCATCTAAAAATGATTTTTACATTTTCAAATGGTGTGTGAGGTGGGGTATCTTTGACATGGAAGCATATGAAATTCAAGTTTCCAGGTGCATAAATGAAGTGTTTTGGAGCATGCACAGTTGTCTATGTGTTCTCTGTGGCTGCTCAATGGCAGGCTTGAGGAATTGTATCAGGGAACAACAAAGCCTAAAGTATTTACTCTCTAGCTCTTTACACAAAAAGCTTGCAAACCCTCCCATAGAATATACTTCAGGCCTGTTCCTATTCTAATTATGCCAGATTTTGAATTCCAAATCTAAAAATGTGTTTTTCTGTAGTTTAAGACAATTTTATTTCTTTACATCCTGTAACATAACTCTTCAGAATAAGGTGGACACCATTATCTGAGTAAGATCCACTTGGGATCAGCAGTATAAATTATGTAAAACTTAGAATTCTAAGAAAACTAAACATCCCCCTATTTACATGAGATCACCTGACATACTTTTCCTTTATCCTAAAGACAGACATCAGTTCAGTTCCAGTCAATGTTTCGCTAATTTTGAGGCAGCAAAATAGAAGTTTCTAGACTTTGGCCTATAATGTCATGAAAAAGAACTCACAGTGAATGTGAACCATCTTTTGAGCAAAGCCTCATTGTTTGCATTAGCTTGATTGCATTAGTATGATTCTTGTGGACCAAGAACAGACAGCCCTTCCTGTTGGGGCTGGTTTCCTCTGTATGAAACTTGTGCATTTGAAAGGGTTCATGCTTGCTTTAATGATTTGCTGTTGACTCTTAAAATTCTTAATGAATTTTAAATGAGACCCTGCATTTTCACTTTGTGTAAGACCCCACACATCCCTTATGTAGCCAGTTCTGCTTCCTATGCACAGTTATAAGCTCCTGCATTCCAGGGAAAAGCAAAGAAAGTTCTCACATAACAAAGTTTTCACCTATCCCCATAGTATGAAAGGATCCTGTAATCACTGTCTTGCTTGGTTTCACCTATAAGCTATGTGAATCCGAGGGAGATGCTTAACTCCTCTGAACCTCTTTACTCTCAGCTATAAACTGATAATATGCATTCTATCTTGGGAGGTTGTTGTTGGGGGATGTTGCAAATGGGGTAACACAGGCAAAAGAGTTCACTTAGCAAACTGGACCCTTACAGAAATGCAAAGCACCTTTTCCTTAGGTGAGGATGGGTCAGAGAGATGCTAAAGGGAAAAGAAGGGTCCAGAAGGTTTTCCAGAGGGCTCAGAGTAGTCTGGCAACTTGCCTCCACCTGCACAGTGATTAGTTCAGATATCAGCAAGGGTCGATGCAGGATTAGAAGAGACAAACAGGCACACATAGAGAGAAAATGGAGACCAGGTGAGATATTACACCTGGATGGTGATGCAATGACCCAGAGCTAGCTCAGCACGTTTATTATATAATTTTTTTCACCAAAATGTTATTTGTTGAGCTGGGTGTGGTGATGTGCACCTGTAATCCCAGCGACTTGGGATTTTGAGTTCAAAGCCAGCCTCAGCAAAAGCAAGGTGCTACACAACTCAGTAAGATCCTCTCTCTAAATATAATACAAAATAGGGCTGGGGATGTGCTCAGTGGCCAAATGCCCCTGAGTTCAATCCCCAGTACCCACTCCCTAGAAAAAAATGTTATTTGTGGGAAAGTTTCTGCAAAGCAGGCAGGCTTGAAATTCACATGCTGATGAGACATTATACTTCTCTTGCTATACTCAGATTCCTCTATCTCTGGGAGTCAGTGTCTGAGTTTCAAGGTTAAAACAGATAACTCTGAGCTTTTGCACAGAGTGACCACAGGTGGATGTCACCATAGCAACTGGGCAATGTTAATCTGTACTTTGGCACAGGGGGATCTCAGTGCAAGTGCACCACAACCACAAGGCAATCAAACATCTTGATCCATGTCATCGCTCCCCACAGTAACTGTTATGCTGTGCCTTAAACTAATCTCACACCACAGCCTAAGCAATTTCCAAAATCACAAAGTCCTGTTTACATCACCATCCTGCTTAAAACCCTTCAGTGGATCCTCTTTGCCTTTAGGATGGACCAGAGTCTTGTAACCCAAACTATGGGCCCTAAAGTAATTCCCTTTATAAAAAGAATCTCAAATAAAGAATAACCTGAATAAATGGTATAAAAAGACACCCAAAAAGGTCTAGGTCATAGCTAGTCTAGCACATTGTTCCACTTGCCTTCAAGCCCCTTGAGAATGAGCACCTCAAGAGAGGCTCATTCTGGTCTTGGAACAATGGCCTAGAACAATGTCTAGCATAGAGTAAATATAAAGGAGAAATTAAAGCTAGATTTGGACACAGGCAGCTGGAGGTTTTATCTTCCTCTGCTACCTCTTAGGGCTGTGACCTTAGGCAAGACCTTGAGCATTGAATCTTCATTTCCTCTCCTAGCTTTGAGGATTAACTAAAACAATACATGGAGGTGTTTTGCATGAGATAAGAGGCGCATGCGCAGTAGGTGAATGTGTTAGCTTTCCATCACTGGGACAAAATCAACTAAGAGGAGGAAATATTTAATGAGCTCCTGGTTTCAGAAGTTGCAGTCCATGATGACTTGACTTGAATGATTCTGGGCCTATTAGCAGAACATTAGGGCAGGGAGGGTATTGGAGCAAAAATGCTCACCTCATAGTGACCTACTTCTCCAGCTAGGCCCCACCTAAAGTTTCCACCACCTCCCAATAGCACCACCAGCCAGGATCAAGCCTTTATCACATTAGCCTTTGGGGGATATTCCTGATCCAAACGATAACAGTGAATCAAAAAAGTTGTAGGATCTAGAGGTCAGTGTGTCGGTATCAGTGACTGCTAAAACAATATGCAATGAATAATTTCATCCATGAATAATAGATAAATGGATTATAATGCAGTTAAGATTATTATTGTTGCCAGGCACAGTAGTGCATTCCTGTAATTCCAGCGGTTCAGGAAGCTGAGGCAGGAGGATCACAGTT